CATGCGCCCTATAGCGAAAACCTCTCCAAAAAAAAAAAAATGAAAGATGCTCCATGTCAGTGCATGCCCAGTCACCTGAGACTTTTTCCAAATGTGGACTCTGATCCATCAGGTCTGGGGTGCAATCCGTGATTTTGCGTTTCTAATAGGCCTTGTGTGATGTTGATGCCCATGGCCCATGAACTGTACCTTGAGCATCAAGGTTCTAGAAAAGAATGTTACATGTAAAGAAATACAAATGATAATGTCCAGAGCATTTCCTTCAAAGTGGTGGGCGTGTGCCCCAGGACATGCACGGTGGGAGTCAGAGGAACTATCCCAGCTCTTTGGCGCAGTCTTGGTAGTGGTAGATGCTATTTAAGTTAGGCAGTTAGGGAAAATAGGGAATCAAAATGGAGTACCCATACAGACTCAGGGAGACCCCAAACCAGTCAGCCCACTATAACCTTATGAGAAAATAACTTTCCTTCTTGCTCTCTGTCCTTCGGGTTCACATCAATACGGGATATTGGAGGCATACACACAAACAATTAGGAGGCAAGGACTCAAACCAGGAAAACTAGGTTTGAAATTTTAAGTGCTCAGGCCTAATGGAAATTATAGGATAGTGAGTTTCAATTTGGAAAATGTAAATAATCCACTCTAAGCAGACCATGCTTGGGGCCAAATGACAGTCTTAAACCCTACCTAAAAAAATGCAAGACTAGCTAATATGGACCACAACTAGGGACAGAGGACACCCATCCCATGGGCCCAAATGATATAAGAATTCTTGTTACCATTAACCACTACTTCATTGTGAAAGCCTTATAAAAACCCACAAGGGGTGGAAGACGATATAGTTAGGGAATGGGTTCAAGATGAAATGACAAAATGGCTAAATTTGGGGGTGAAGACACAACAGCTTGCTGTCACTGAACTGCTTGTTCACAGAGCCAGCTTGCAGCAGTGACCTACGACTGACCTAAGACAAAGACTTTTTTCCTGGTACCACCACATTCCAGGAAGAAGGTAAGGGTCTTTCATGGCTCAAAGCTTTTAGGCAAAGAGAGTTTCTTAACCTTTGAATCCACTCCAAAATTAGAACAAAATAACCAGACCTATCCAGCATGTGACCCCCCACCCAGAGTAAAACATGCACCACTTGGGAGCAAGCACAGACAAAGCCCTCCTGACCCAGATCAAAACCCCTTGCCTCAGTTCCTTGTGGGCAACCCGCTTGGGATCCACTCTCTGCTTCGGACCTCAGTTCTTCCTTTTTTCTCGTAAACTCCCTTTGCTTGCTTATGTCTGCATCTCTAATTCTTCATGTGCTGAAGACAAAAACCCATGTCTTATTGTGGGTGGAGGGACATGTCACTCTGGGCCCTTGTGTTCCCTGAATCAGGAGTGCAGGTGGTGGGACACCATGCTGTGGTGTGGAGCCATGTGGGAAGCCTGGACACTCCTGAGATGCTGGTGAGCTGGGAGGCTGGGGAGGACCGCAGTGTGATAAGACTCTGTCAAAGGCACCTGTCTTTCGCTTTCTCTCTATCATGAAAGAAAAAAAGAAAATAAACTTTAACAATAGTATAACTTCAGGGCCAGCAGGTGGCATGGAGATTAAAGCACTAGATCCCACATGGCTGATTGCACAGTTTGGGTCCAGGACCTGGTGGCTTGAAAATCACACCGGGTGTGTGTTCGTGAGTGCCCCAAATCCTGAGAAGAGACTGGAAAAAAAGGGATTTTTACCTCACCACCTGGGGGGACGATCCAGGACCTTCCCTCTTTCTCTCTGTCTCTCTCTGGCAAGTCCACATGCCCTATAGCTAAATAAATAAATAAATAAATAAAAATAAATAAAATGACAAAACAGACAGCTTCTTTCCTTTTCAAAGCTGCTTCTGAGTTTCTGTGTAATACATGGTATATTTAAATGGTAATGAATATGTGACATACTAAATTATATAAATGTGTATATTTGAGTACATATTTAATGTTTTCCTAAGAGGAATTAATGCTAAAAGAACAACATGAAGACTTCTGACAGGAAAAGCTGAGGCATAGATTGTCATTTCATTTTTCAGATGAAGACACTGAGGCTCTGAGATGTCCACTGCTTGGCCCCGATTCACAGCGCGGAGGCCCAAATGCAGACCTTCTGACTCCCAGCCTAGTGCTCTTTCTCTCCTCTGTGCCTCGGGCACTTGGCTAGAGAACAAGTCATAAAACAAGTCAAAGCACAAGGGGAAAACCTCACCTACAAACGCACTTTCCTCCTGACCTCTAATAAAACACAAGCAGGAAAGGAGCGATGCAAAAGCCAGATTGTCTTACACGAGCATCTCATCTGAGATAAAACCTTCCCTGCCGGTGTCGTTAATCACCTTACCTCTTCCCTTCCCCTAGGAGTCCCGGTGACGAAGCAACCACAAGCTGTTTTGTATCTGTACTGCAGCTATCGCAAGATCGATGAGGATTTTTCACAGAGCTGTAGTGTAGGAACACAAAAGGGGACGTGGACAAAGTCAACTGTTGAGAGGCCACAAAGTATAGTTGCAGAGTCTGTGGGCTGAGGGGGTCACTGAGATGGGCTCTTCACAGCTCATGGCATCAGTCTGAGCTTTGACTACAACCATTTTTGATTTTATGGTAGTGAAAGAATGAAGCCATAAACTGGGAGGAAGAGACAGGGGAGGTGGAGACTGGGTATTATCGGTGGAAGCACTTGCTTTGTTGTAGTCTTGCAGACAGAATGAATTCCATTCTAACATCCCAAAAGACCTTAGGCAAGTCGGCTCCAGGAGTCAGGCCCTGCAGACACCTGGGTCTTGCCTGACCACTTGACAAAAAATACAAAGCACATGCGACATCAACTAACAAGTAACAACTCTTAGAAAGTGTGTGTACTTGCTCCTTTGCCCCTGGTAAAAACAAGATTTTAGGCAAACCAAAATTTTAACAGCATTTATTTGAACAAAGGATGGGTCATTCAAGTCAGGCAGGTCCCCAGAAAATGGTTTCTGAGCAACTCTGGGTAGTGCCTGTGTTCACAGGGTAGTCAAGTTTGTGGACAGGAAAAGTGGCGTGTGTAGGAAAGGGAAAGTGGCGTACGAAACCCAAAACGAGGGAATGAGGTAGAGAAATGATTAGATTGGTTACAGCTTGAGGATAGGCTACATGAACAGCCTAGAAGGGGGGCTTTCTGAGATTGACTGAAGTGTGGCAGGTGTAATTGGCTGTAACTTAGCAACCAGCTCAGGAAAACAGTCTAACACCTGTGATTTCAGTTTATCCACAGGAATTCCAGTGTAGTAGTACAATGATTTCAGGCCAAAATAGTTCAGGTTAACACCCTGTTCTGCATAGTTTTCCCTTTTGCTATTTGTGTTATCTCTTTAAGCCCCCATAGACACTGGAGGCTTACACTTGCGAGGTCTTCCACTCCTTCTGAGAGCTGACCTGACATTCCTGAGGAGATACTGCTAAAAGACTTTCTAGTCCTTATCATCTGCATGTTGAATTATTCCTGAATGTCGTGGGCTAACCCCATGGCCTGATGAAATGTGAGCTAGACCCCACATGACTGACTGCACAGTTCAAGTTCCAGATTGGTTTCTAGAAAAACATGCCAGGCACAAAATTCTGAAAGGAGGGAGAAAGGGAGAAGAAATTGTGGCATGACCTTGACCCATTGGGAAGTGCTTTCTCTCTTTCTTTCTTTCTCTTCCTCTTGGTGAACTCATAAGCCCTGTGAACAATGAAAATAAATAAATAAATAAATAAAAAGACTGCCTCAACATGATTATAAACCATTCTAAATTTATTCCAGTTGATTGATCGGCTCACTCATTCATTCATTCACTCACTCAGTTATCCAGTCATTAACTTTAACAAGCAAACCCTACTTATCATCTACTAAGCCCTAGCCACTTTGAGAAATGTGGTAGAAGCAGACTAAAGGTAACCTTCGCCCACCAACATTTTCCAATCAAGTGTAAGTGCAGGTAACAAATAACCAGTTTTATGGCATACACACTGATGTGGAATAGAACCAGTGATGGAGAGGAACCAATGTCTAGTTTCAGATCTGCATCTGTGAGCAGTGGGAGAGCACACTTTTGAAGGGCTTAGTGATCTTGGGAGACACCAGCAAATGCAGTAATGGAGGGAAAGAAAGTGACATTTACTGAGAACAGGGTTGGCCATACATTTTATATGTACTCACATATACAGACACACACAATACCCTTGAATAGAAACACATATATGTATACACCAATGTGCATAGGCATGCTTATGTACCTACATGCATGCATACACATATTAGTATAGAAACATACGTGCGTTCACATGTAAATATTTTCTCTTTTTTGCAAGAACATCTAACAGCATCTGTCTTAGTAATTTTAATTATGTGCTACTTTGTGGTTAGCTAGAGGCACTATGTTGAATAGTTGATCTGCAGACCTCATTTATCTTGAATTACTGGAACGTCATATCCGTAACTAGCATTTTCCATTCTCCTCTCTCCTCAGTCCCTGGCCACTTCCATTCTACTCTCTGTTTCTATGAATTTGACTATTTAGATATCACGTTAAGTGACATCATGCTGTATTTGTTTTCTGCGTCTGTCTTATTTTATTTAGCATAATGTCCTCCATGGTTTCGCACACATTTAAAAAAATTCTCCTCGTAACTATCCTGAGGTATTAATATTTCCATTTTTGCAAGTAATTATATTAAATGATACACAGTGTAAAACTTGCCAAATGTACTCTGAATCTACCCATTTCTGACTTTAAAGTGACTGTTCTGAAACAATTTCCTTAGGAACGAGGTACAATGCCTAGTCCCCAGTGCCCTACTGTGAACGCTGTACCTGGGTCAGGAAGGAAACAGAAGTGGTTACTCTGGCAAGCTTTCTTCGGTGATGGGAGTCACCCAGGTTCTTTCTGTGCCCAGATTCTTTCTTAGGTTCTCGATCACTATGGTAACAGCACAGTTCTAATGCCTTTCCCAGGAGCTAATCTCTCAGTGAAGAACTACTCAGCCCTGCTAAGGAGTACCACCTAGGTAACACATGTCTCCATGTTAATAATCCCCTTTCAGAAAGTTTGGGTCTTAGATAATCCAGTTCAGCAATTCAGAAATTGCCTTTTATACCTTCAAGAGACTGTATATTGTATTATGCTGTGAATTTCTCGGTAGCTGTGAATCTGACATCTTAAAACATTCTGTCATGGACAATACAGGAAACAAACAGGGTTTCCACCTGGTGGCATTTTGGGGTTTACACATTAAATGTGTGCACTCTCCGGTCTGCAGACTAAGAAGCTCACTTACTTGAGAGAAGAAGAAAAGGGTCTGGGGAGGCACCAGAGTCTTACTTCCTCAGCCTTTGGAAAATACAGGGTGTTCCACATCTCAAACCAGGTCAGTATAGCTTCTAACCTTCTTCCCTTAGGTCAAAGTGCAAACATGGCAGGTGCTCACTGCTGCATGTGTTTCCCATCTACTTGGGGGGTGGGCATTGTGGTGTGCAATGCTCTGGTTGGGGTATAGTACTATTCACACCAGTGAATCGTACTGTCTTGGAGCAAAATCTGGAGGCTGGAACTGTGTCACTCAGGCTGGGCAGGTACGGAAGAATTCTAGAAGCCAACAGAGAAGAATCCTCACTAACTGCCACAAGAAGAGACAGCAAGGGTTCCCTGGCCCCCTGCAGCAGAGGAAGGATGCTTCACAGGACTTAGGAGATGCCTCAGCTGCCCAGGGGCTCTTCAGCACTCAGATTGCTCATCCCTGCCAGGTCTCAGGGTGAGTGACCCCTCTTTCTTGCAAAGCAAATGACCCAGATTTATCTCTAACTCCTGCTCCACATTTGCTTAAATTCCGACAGTCCTACATCATCTGCCGTCTCCCCCAGGTCCCTCCTTTTCCTTCCTTCTCCATATGTTCTTTCACAATGGATCTTCAGGATCTAATTTTTCAACAATTACAATGTTTCAACAAATGCAATTGGTTTCCATACATAACAGAAAAGATCTTTTCTGCAAATTCTACCAGGAATTTATAGAATAAGAAGAGAGGATGCATTTGCTTTCTTACTTCTTTCATTCTTTTTTGTTTTGATTTTTTGGAGAGTTTTTTTTTTTTTTTTTGCCATAGGACATATGCGCTAGCCAGAAAGATAGAGGGAGACAAAGACAGAAAACGAGATATCACCCTCCGGGAGTGATGGCCACACTGCAATCCCTTCTCCTCCATTCTCCTCTCGGGATCTTGGGCACACACGCACATGTGCCTGGAGTGAGTTTAAGTCACCAGGTATGGGACTCTAACCATGGTCGACTACATGGGAATCCAGCGACATAGACATTACGCCAACTGCTGGTCCCATCATTCTTATTTCTCTCATTTACATGAAAAACAAAGAGTAAAAGTGTCACATTGCCCTGTTAAAATGTAATTGCTATTACCTCTTAGAGAGAAATTAACTCTAAGAAAAACATACATAATGTCCCTAGACCCAGAGTGGTAAATTATTCAAAACAAAACAAAACAGAACAAAAAGGGATTTCCCAGAAAGGTCATCCAAATACATAAACGTCATCACTGATGATGAAGACATCTCCAACCCCCTAAAGTGAACTCTGAAGATTCCCTACTGTCTGTGGCCACTGTACCCAGTGCATTTTCTGTTTTGACATCTATCACATTTTCTTGCATTTACATATTAAATTTACTAGTTTTCAAGTTTTTTTGAAAATAGAGGCACTGAAGTATTCACTGTGGTATATAGTGTTGAACAAGATATCCAAGAAATTGTAGTGCTTAGTAATAATTAATTCATAGTAAAAAAATCTGTAGATGATCAAAAGAACACTTCACTTTATTAAAGGTTATTGGCCAGTTATTACGAATGGGGTAGGTATATGTGAAGTTATATGTTGATATTCATAGAGTTATATGCTGGCCCTCCTTTTTTCCAAACTGACAGGATTAGGAAATTCTTTGTATCTAATCAACTCTTCAGTTTCACCATCATATCAACAAACTATTCTGGAGCTTATAATAGTCACAAAGGGATATAAAAAAGGACCCAGTTTCATTACCACTTTCACAAATTAGCTTAGAGAATAGTGGTGGCTTGTGTAATCTCTGGGTTCTATGTCCTCTTCTGGAAACGAGTGGAGAGGTAGGATCACCTCTTGGTTCACTGACATTACCAAAATTCTATTCTTTGTGTGCAACAATTGTATGTAGATGCTGTAATAGCGGGACAATTTTAATACAAAGTTATATCATGCAGCTTTGCAGAAACATGTGTACACAATTACAGAATTTGTCACAACATTACAAGATGACAACCTGTTCTTTTACTTTCTTTAAACAAATTGTCTTAATGGCAATGGAAACTATTATTAGAAGCAATACCTAAATTTTACCTTTTGTAAAATTCAGAAAACCTTTTCTGCTTTTATTTTGGGGTAAAGACATTGAAAAATTACTGCTAGCTGACAAAAAAAGGGAAATGACAGTGTGTCTTAGTCATTAACATACTACCTAATTGCTGCGTTCATTTGATAAGGGTTAGAACATGTAGTTTTAATAGCTAGGTCTGTTTCTTAAAAAACAGAATTTGCAAAGACATTAATCTATGTGCTCCCAGTTTGCATCTCTGCGATACATTTGCAGGCTCATTCCTGTCATGGTAATGAGGTTTTTGCCACCACACGGCCCCAATGACAGTTGAATCCACAAACAGCAGTTCATCAATTGATTGCAGGTGTTTCCCCTTGGAAAATAAAAACTGCATGTACATACCAGGAGGTGAGGGAAAATCGATTTTCAACAGCCACACAATCTGGTGAGTTCTGAAATACGGCTTTGGGAAACAAATCCTCTTGCTGCTGTTTTCATATACAAATACATCGCATTTATAAGAGAGAAGGCACCAATAGCAATAAGGATTCATAAACTGAAAATTCAGTACAATATACCTAAAAAGAGACAAAAACTTTCTTTCAAGTTAATAAAAAATAAAATGTCAAGATATTAAATGTGGGTACTTTTTCTTTCTTTCTTTGTTTGTGGGAAAGGAAGAGGAAAAGTGAGAAATCATCTCCACCAAGGGAGATAGCCATGCTACAATCCCTTCTTCTCTGTTCTTTTCTCTGGATTTTGGACACACACGCACATGCATCCAGCATGATTTTCAAGCCACTGGGTCCAGGGCTCAAATTGTACTTGACTGTGTGGGAGTCCAGTGCCTTAACTAGCATACCACCTACTGGCTCCATCCATTAATATTGTTACAGAAGTTATTTACATCTCTGTAAATTCCTATCTAAAATATTTTTTAACGTCCACTGAAGAACAATTTCATGAAAAACATGCCGAAATTCAATTTAGGAAGCTCTCAGCAACATGCACAGAATTATATTCACCTAGTTCAGGATTTCATTCTGTATTTGTACTTTATTTGATTATTTCAAACAGCGCTTGATGTGGTCATGTTTCTTCGGGCCCCCTAACTATTTCAGATGTAATTTTCTTGTTGGCAACGTTCTTTAGACTTTTAGTTGAGACCCATTTCTCCCTCCCCATCCACTTGTCTGCGTCACCCCCTCACTGCGTGCACTGTAAAAGGCTCCGCCAACACCGTTTCTAGCCACACTGCTTTCATCATGGCCCAGCCATCTGGCGTCTAGGTAGAAACGCCTTTATACCCAGGAAACCTAAATTTCAAAGTTGAACTTCGTTCTTTGAAAAAGCAAGTACCTGTAATATACTGTTTGTGTATGGGAGTTTGCATCTTCAGTGCTATTTTTAGAAATATATGTATTCTCGGGAACCAGCAGTTAGCGTAATGGCTATATCGCTGGACGCCCATGTAGTCGACCGCAGTTTGCATCCTGGACCTGGTGGCTTAAAACTCACGCTGGGCGCGTGTGCATGCGTGCCCAAGATTCCGAGAGGAGAATGGAGGAGAAGGGATTGCAGTGTGACCATCCCCCCTGGGGGGTGATTTCTCGCTTTCTGTCTCTATGTCTCTCTCTGTCTGTCTGGCAAGCACATGCGCCCTACAGCAAAAACCTCTAAAAAAAAAAAAAAAGAAATATATGTATTCTCAAATACTGTGGATAACCTGAAACCCTAGCGGCTAGTTTCTAATATATTATATGTATAAGGACTGTTTACATAAAAATTGGTTATAAGAAAGTTTCATGTTCTTGGAGATTAGCAGGTGGTATTGTGGTTAAAGCACTGGACTCCTACATGGCTGACTATGGTTTGAGTACTGGACCTGGTGGCTTGAGAATCACACAGGGAATATATACAAATTATCCACGTTATATGGTAGGGATTGAAATATTTAAGGGCGTAAAAACAGTGAAAATAGTTATAGATGCTGAAGACAGTGTGGAATGGGGGAGCAGGGAGAAGGGAAGAGTATAGAGAAGGGTAGCCTGAGAATGAATAGAGGGGCAGGACATTTGTGGGACACAGAAATGGTTTATTACCTGTTCATGATAACATGTATAGTATTTTCTACTGGACTGGTTTGAGAAGTATTTCATGTTAAGTAAAATCTCTTTGTAAGCCAAATGATGTGTAGTAATTAAATGTTTTTAAGAGGGAGAATAAATAATAATAATTATTAGAAAAAACGGAAAAAAATGAAAGCTATTTGGTGATGATGATGTGGATAGTAATGTCTTTGTCTTGATGGATATGCATAGGAATCATGCTGGAAAAAGAAACGTTAGATATAGGTGATTGAATGTAATATGAAAATATTAAAAATTAAAAAAAAAAGGAAATCACACAGGGTGCATGCATGCATGCTAAAATCTCAGGAGAATGGAGAGGGGATTTTGATGTGGTCATCCTCCTCAAGGGGGTGATTTCCAACTTCTTTAACTTTCCCTTTCACTGTCTCTGTCTCTCCAGTGAGCACATGTACCCGATGGCAAAACCTTAAAAAAGAAAAAAACAATAAAGGAAGCTTCATGTTCTCGAATATGTCCTCTACTTGCTGCTCTTGCCTTCAGCACTGTTGAGGTCTGGGGCTGGATGGG